ATGATGAAAAATGAAAGCACAAGTTATCGAAACAGCAAAAATATTTTTCAACGTCCTCAAAGTTTTATAAGTTTATTGTTATACAATATTTGTAGCCATGATATTTTGTGCCAATTTGTATTTGAAAGATTTATTTTGTCTGTTACCCTCCCCCCCCCCCCCACTTCGTCTTTGATTTATCTGCAAAAAAAAAAGAATAAAATTTAACACTGGGTTTTGTTTCTTATACAAAGTGCATGTTGGGTTAACCCTTAAATAATTCACTCTGGTAATTGGCTTAAAGTTAGTACTGGTAGAAATTGTGAACGTAATTAATACCATTGTTTGCCAATTTATTACCAATTAAATATAAGATGATGAATGAATAAAAATATCCACAAAATGTTTTGAAAGTTTAAACTGTTTACAATCACTTTGAAAAAGACAAAGTGTTTAAAGGTGTTTTCTTGCCTTTGGGTTCTAACATGAAAACTATGGATTTTGAAATTTAAGAATACACCAAGTCAAAAGTATGAAAATATTTAAAAAAAAATGATTCATTTTTAAATTTAAAGCATTTAAGTTGAACATCAAAGTAAGATCATCGTGAATTTAATATAAGGGTTATTAGATATGTATTTAAGAGAATTATATTTATATTTTTAAAATAGAATACATAAGCAGTCAACCTATTATTCCTATCTCTTTCTTATGTAGGAGTGTCAGTGGTTACCTCATCTCTGACTATTTCCTCTCTGCCATCGGCAAAAGCATCCTGATGACCAAGCAAGCATTCATCTTGAATAAAAAGAAACTTTTAATGATAATTAATATATATATAAGGTGTAGCAAACAATTTTTATATTACTGGCTACTCAATGTTGCGGGTTCGAATTCCGTCCGGGATTTTGGATTATTTCAGCTAGTTAAATGGAAGGTCAGGTGTGCTAGCTAGACACACATTCGTCAATTATTTCAGACACATGCGGGTTGTTTCCTTCACCAGTTAAGCATGAAAGTCAACATATGAGTCAATTCAGATTTTAACAAAACCATCACAAGCAAAGGAACGACTTAAATGATTTCGTATCTTTTTTATTTTGCCAAGTTCCATGTTTAATTGTTCATCGGATCCTTTCAGTTCTTTTCGCAAACCTCTCGTTCTTATATAAATTTAACTGTCTCCTTTTTGGTTTTTGTTCCCTTTTTACTTAAGAGTTAATAAATTTTTTTTGCATAGCAAGATAACTTACTTACGTGCCATCTGGCCCGCCGCTACTGCCCCAATGCACCATCAATATTTTTTTTTTTAAAACCTCTGCTGCTTCTAAAAATGACGAGCATCACAGACATGTTTTAATCTCTTTTGAATTAACGAAAACGTAAAATGAAGTTAACTGCAAACAACTTCAGATTATTGTGATAATCGAAACGAATAAAATAGTGCCCTCAGTAATCTATTTTAAAAATTGTTTTTTACTTGTATTATATTATGAATTATTTGCTAAATTTGCGGAACAATTAATTTATGAACTCTGTTAGATTTTTACTCTAAGTCAACACTAAATACACTGAAAAATCTAAAACTTACCACATTTTCGGCTGACATCTGGAGCTAAATCGTGATCAGTTTCTTGTTCTTGTTTCTTTTGTTCTGGCAAAATTGGTATTATAAAAGTCTTTAAAAGTTAAATTTCTCTTTAAATACCAATCATAAAGATGAGCACGTAACACGTAAATCATAATTCACGAAACGAATAATAAATGTTGTATAACAAATTTAGTACTACAACATGTATTTGTAACAGATACCTAATGTGTACAGTGCGTTACTTGTTTTCAGTTGGACATGTACGAGTACAAAAGCAAAGAATTGATGTTACTTGACCTCACTATGAGACCAAAGAACTCGATATCCATCTTTATATGCATTGTTTATTTTTATAATAATGTATTGTACTTGTTTTTATTAAGTAGAACAAATAATAAGATAATAAAAAAATGGAAATAATACCAGATTTACATACCTACATGATTATGAATTTTGGTCGCAAATACTTCACCGCATTCGCCCCCAATGAAAACCTTTATCTTGTCAATAAATCCATAAAAAACATATAAAACAATTTGATATCAAACTTTGAGTTTTGGCATTCAGTCAATTTGTACAGATTGCATATATTGCACACTATTTCTATTCCTTATAAAACTGTACACAACTCGGGATGTGAGTGGACGAATGGTTAAGTTCAAAACACTTACCGCCCACCGCTTAAGGTTCGAGCCGTGCAAGCGTCTTTGTATTCTTCAAGAGAGCTAGCTTACAAAACGTCGATGGTTCTACTCAAGTGCCTGTTCGTGCCTGAAATAACACACGGGAGCACCCGAGTTTTTTTCCTCCACGAATTATACGAAACATCGTGTTGGTGCGACACTCATATTGATCATGAAAAAATATGGCCATTCTTTTTTGTATGATTAAAGAAAATCTTTTAAGAATCAGGTTTCTTTCTTTAAAATAATAATAAATATTATTTGTTATCCGTTCATTAAGTGAATTCGGAAACTTGTTTAACAATGTTGTATGTCTTGCCATTAACTAACAGAAAACCGAAGATAAGAAAAGAAAAAAAAAGAGAAAAAAATCAGATACCTAAGATAAATATATCGTCTGGCCAGGAGTTAATGCAATGTCTATTAGTTTTATAGGTGTACAAGAATGTATATATGGATAGGGCAGTGCTACGTTAACAGCACGCAGCTCGCTCTACAAGAAACACTGAAAAGGCACACTAAGAGGAAAAGTTTCAACAACAAAGAATTTAAATTGTCCTTACTAAATACAATACACAATACTTCAACACCTTTATTTATATAATCAATAATGATAGGGTCGTCAATAAAAGCTTTTTGAGCATTTGTATATAATTTATTTGTCGAACCTCCAACTTCGTGTGACCAATGCCAAGGGTATCTTCGTTCAAGATCTTCCAGTGCTTCGGTATGTCCAATCTCTTTTGTTGTCCCTTCTCCTGGACCCCAATTCAAAAGATAACTTAAAGGTTTTTTCCCTTTTCCCTCAAAGTCCCGTTTGAACAATGCTTCCATGAGTCTATTAGATATATGATCATCATCAATTCATATTATCGCAATAGATTTATGAATTAAAAGTTGTTTGAAGACGTACGTTATAGTTTCTATACAGATATATAGGCATAATGAAAACTGGGTGTAGAATATGTATCTAAAAATATGATAAAAGAAACATTTTAACAGAGAACTAGAACTAGAAATGTGTGCAGAAGACATGGCTGCCCCAACGTTCTACTGTTTTTCACGAAAAAATCTGTACAATTACTAGTGCATATTAACATAGCAGGTACACAAGACAAAACTTCGGTGATTATCAATAAACTTACATAAAAATACACGCGGTAACACTCGTTCACAGCTATTCTTATATAGTTATAGCCCACAAGCTATAGTGATCGGTTGCGGCCATTTCAAACCCGCGAGAAATTGTATTGATATATAACATAATGTCAGCGGCAACTTACAAAATTTTATGCCGAAATCGTAAACAATATCGATATAATTCTTAAACGGAGTTGGCGGCTGATTTTGGTCTGCACTGTTCGCATTGACAGATTCGTTTAATGATAAAATGTCAAAAAGCACATGAAATAAAATGATCCATTATTTTCTATGATTGCGTTATCCTTGAATATTAGATTGCTACATTCCAGGTTATAATGAGAAGGAAAATATGAAAGATACACAATCAAAAGGCTGTCAAATTATGAATTAATACACCTGTTACTATATATAGAAACAAAATCGCCTATGATTTCAACTGATTATGAGTGTCAGGTGACATATTATGAGTTTGCGACCCGGGGCCCAGGACAAGTTATGAGCCCGCTGAACATGTGCACGTGCACTAACTGAAACAATGACGTCACATTTTACGTCAAGAAACAGTTAACTTTAAAAGTGAAAGTAGGTTTTAAGCATGAATCGCTAGATTTTATTATGAGAGCTTAAGCGTATTTCGTAAACACGCAGTTTTATCCCTATTAAAACTTTAAGAAATGATACGACAAATTCATTCCGAAAAAACGAAATATAGATTCTACAGTAGTGTACTTTGAACATACAAAAAGTAAACAACTCTATGGTTGTTACTGTACTGTACAGTACGGTAGAAATGCAGACAGGAATTTCAACGAAAGAAATTCAAAAGTATTTTTTTAGAATAATTCTATAATTAGATCTACAATAGATCTATGTATTAAATACATTCATACACAGCAGAGTTGGGTTGGCAGGTGATAATCGACCCTGAAATAAATTATGCTTTAATGATAAACATTATATAACGGGTACCATACTATTTCTAAACTACTTGCTACTTAGTGTTGAGAGTTCGGTCACGTCAGGGTCATTGGATTCTTTCAGATACATTAATGGAAGGTCACCTTTATGCAGAATATTAGAAACAAGCGCGCACTGTCCTCCACCAGTAAAGCTTGAAAGTCAATATATAAGTGTGATTTAAAATTTAACAAAACCATCACGAGTAAAATAACGACTTAAATGAGCTGATTTTATTTTAGATAAAATATGAATTTATTATGCTACTCAGTTACATGCTGATCGGACCTTATCAGTTCTTTTCGCAATTTTTTGTTGTTACTACATGTACGATTTATAACCATCTTTTTATTTTGTTTTGTTTTTCTTGTAAATTATTTACATTGCAGAATTGTTTACTTACGGGCATCTGCGACCGCTACTGTTAATGCACCCAATAATATTTTTGCGTCCGGTTCTTCTTTGGCTGAAATGGAACGTTTTCTAAATTTCTTAACTGAAATCATATTACTACCATATTGAAAACAATAGTTAAATGACGGCAAATGATGTTCTCTCTGTAACTTTGTACAGTTAAATACAACTCAAATTTAACTTGCTCTTTGCTTTGCCATGTAATATAGAACTCACCCAGAACAGACCGTATGTTGTTATAATAATTGAAAAGGAAGTTACATTGTTTTCTTAATCATGTCATTCGCTAAATTGTTTCATTACCACTGAATTATAGTATTATATTTAGTATTATTGTCTAATGCATTTTCATGACGTCATGTCGCAGTAAGCAAGGTCAAAGTTCAAAATAAATGCATTTTTATGAAAGCTTTTAATCGACCTTTACAAATTCAGTTAGCAATGACGGTTATTTTTCTGAGACGGTAACACAAGCCATATGTTTCATACAAGTGCAAGAAATATAATAACACATATTGCTTGTCCATATTTATCACATAAAAGTATCAAAATTGATTGGTCAAATCATTGTGGAATAAGGATTTTTCCAATTAAAAGGAGCATTTAAAATAGATCCTTTGGAACTCGGCAACAAATTGGGTTGTTTTTTTCTAGTTACAAACAGTAACAATTCTGTAAATCCAAAATTCATTCATATTATGAGAAACAATCTAGAAGCAAATGCAGAAGTTGCATTTATACAACATATTGAACTAATTAGTTAGACAATCTTGTCGACATATGTTCTTTAATGTCTGCTTTAAGGTGGAACATGGTAATATATCTTTAATGAATGGTCAAACCAAGAGTCAAGGCATATGATTGTAAATGTTATCCTATTATATAAGTTTCTAAAATATATCAATGTCAGCAATCTTTATGAAGGTGCAGCATACTCAACAAATCGCTCGATTCCTTTAAAAGTATCACTAACACACAAGGCAATCGATGGCATTTTCAAAAATGACAAATAAAGTGTCATACGTTTAGATTTTTCACAAAACTTATCCAAAGTTTCTTACTTGTTTGGCGCCAATTATTAAAGCTTGATGTTTAACACCTTCACCTACATTCGGAGAGTCAAACATACATATAAAGATACCAAAAATGCTTATTATCGGGTAAAACCCCAATTCTACATACAAACATGAAAAATTACAATGACAGAGAAATATCAAAAGTTTTCAGTACATTAAAAACACCATGCCTGAGTAATGAATTAATTTGATCTGGACCATCATTCGAATATGTCCGCTCCCCCCTAATTTTGTTTTATATGTATATACAATACGAGATCATGGTTTGATATCAACATTTTTTATTCATCATAAAATGTATACTACATCACATAGAGCTTTATTAACATTTTCTTTTCAAGCAATGTTTCATTAGAATATTCAAATAATACATTTCTATTGTTTTTATTATAAAATCTGGAAATGCTTCTAGAAAATGTTTCCATTGAAGACCTATCCTCTTTAACCATTTTCTGTCTGTAAGATTATGTAACTTCTAAATAACAAATGTTTAATCCCTTTTGAATGAATGAATGAATGAATGAATTAATAAGTAAAAAGGTAATGTGCAACAACTTCAGATTGTTGTGTTCTTTAACGATAATATTTCAATTTATTATATACTTATAAATGAAATATTGAGAAATATTGATGAAATAAAGCGCGTATTTTACTTTTCCGTATTTTCACTGTAAAAATTTATTTTTCACTGCAGTGAAACATATTTTCCGTATTTTCACTGGTGTCTTGCCGGACTACTTTCTTTTAAATTCTGCCAGTACACAAAATTTAAGGGAAAGTCTTTCAAATTTTATCGCAAAAAAAGTGAAAAATGTATATAATAAACAGAAAATTCAAGTTTTTTCTATAATTACATGATTTATTTTCATCTTGTGGCATGAAAATTACCATATTTCACTCGTGGCTACCGCCACTCATGAAATATTTATTTTCATACCACTCGATGAAAATAAATCATGTATTTATAGAAAAACTTGAATATCCTCTATATAATATAGTGCCTCAATAAATATATTTGAAATTGTTTTTTACCTGTATTATGTTATGAAATATGTCATTTAAATTGAGACAATTAACTTATAAACTCAACAATAAAGACACTGTACAACGTAAAACTTACCACGTTTGCGGCTGACCTCTGTAGCTAAATCTGGATCAGTATGTTGTTCTTTCTTGTGTTCTGGCAATATTGGTATGATAAAACTATTAAAGAGTTCAATTTCTATTTAACACACAGTCACAGTGTTTATGATAAGCACGTAAAACGTAAATCATAATTCACGTTACGAACAATAAATGTTCTATAACAAATTTAGCATTATTTGTAACGGACTACCTAACGTGCAGTAAAGTACGTTATATTTGTTTTCAGGTGAACGTGTACGAGAACAACAGCAAAGAATTGAAGTCACGTGACCTCACACAAAGACGAAAAACTCACTATCCACCTGTATATGCATTGTTTATCAAATGTTTTGTATTTGTTTTTTTTATTAAACAAAACAAAAAAAAGAAGAAATAAAATGAGAAAGGAAAGAATACCAGATTTACATACCCACAAGACCACAAAATGTTTTTATAAATAATTCGCCGCATTCGCCCCCAACGAAATCCTTAATGTGGTGAACTAAAGCTGAAAAATATATATAAATATTTGATTTTATAATTTGAATTTTGTCATTCAGTAAATACGTACAGCTTGCATATATTGCAAAATATTTCTTTTTATTAAAACTCTTTACCCGAGACGTAAGTGGCGGAGTGGTTACGTTCGTTGACTTCAAACCACTTTCAAACAACAAAGAATTTAAATTTTGCTTACTATATACAAATACAAACAATTCCTTAAAATCATCATTAATAACTTCATTATGAATAGGGCCAGCAACAATAGCTAAGGCATATTAAGTTTTTGAACAATAATATAACAATAGTATATTTGTTGCACCTCCAATGACATTAACGCCGCTTGGTTATGAGGAGTAGATAACGATTGCCCCATTGACGATTCGTGCCAATTTTTTACAATAATTTAAAACGTCCTTTAGGTTAATATCATAATTAATAAATGATAAGATTAAATGTTTCTTTTGGTATGATTGTAAAATAAATTGTTCTCTGTATCTAAATTCAAAAGCAGAAATGGATCATTTTAACTGTTAGGTTATCAATGAAAAACTGATAACGATTCGTCCAAATCCAGTGACGATTCGCCCCACTTCAATAATCATTATGACACCATGTTAATAAATCTCTTAAAAAGAATAAATCTGTAGAAAATTTTGAATTGTTAAAAACTAAACGACGAGTATATAAAAAAGCTAAAAGAAAAGCACGGCCTGGAAAACTAAGAAAAAAACGACAAATTAAAAACAAAAACAAAAATTAAAGCTGGAGATATTTCTAAAGAACACTTTTTCAATCATTTTAAAACATTATTTGCGGAAAATAGTGCTTTCATTTATAATAAAGTTGAGAATGAATTGAACACAAAAAAGCTTAGATGAATATGTTATTGAACAACTTGATAAAGAATTAATTATTGAAGAGATAAATGCCTACCTTAAATGAATTTTTTATATATTTAATGAAAAATAAGCATGAAACTGTTAATAGATTATCAAAATATATCTGCTATGCAAATGCATTACGTGATAGAACGAATGATTGATTGTTTTCAAATACTGATATTGGTATATATGGCATACTGTTATTTACAAAGAATATATTGAAATACAATGTATATGTGTTCTTTACAATATAAAATGTTATTGTAAAAAATATTTGTATTCAGTTACATACTTTTCTCATATATTTTTTGTAACCGTCATTCTGTTTATGGCGACGGACATTGAAAAATGTGTATGCCTTTTGAAATAAAATCTTGAATCTTGATATCTTGGAAATCTCTTAATCAACTGCTATCTAGAAAAAAAGTATACCAAATCAATTAAAAAATACCCAAACCATAAATATTTTTCAATGCAAATGAATTAAAAAAATAATACAAGTTTGGACAACGACACTAAATTGGGCAAATCGTCACTAAAGTGTGGTGAATCGTTATGGGGGAATTGTCATTGGGGCGAATCGTTATATTACTTCTATGAGACGTTTCTCCATTTTCGTTTGACCAAGGCGTTTCCCTTTCAAAATCTGCCAGTGCCTGGATTGTTCCTCTTTCTAGTGTTGCCCCTTCTGGATCCCTCTTCTTAAAGTAAGGTACTTTCCCTTTCCCCTCATAGTCCTTCATAATCTTTCCCTTTTCCCTCATAGTCCTTCTTCGTTATATAAGGCACTTTCCCTTTTCCCTCATAGTCCTTCTTCGTTATATAAGGCACTTTCCCTTTCCCCTCATAGTCCTTCTTCGTTATATAAGGCACTTTCCCTTTCCCCTCATAGTCCTTCTTCATAATATAAGGTACTTTCCCTTTCCCCTCATAGTCCTTCTTCATTAGGTTAGGTACATTATCATAGTAGTCCCGTCCGAACAATGCTTCCATAAGTCTATTAGATATATAAATATCATCAGTTAATATTCTCGCAATAGACTTATAAATTAAGTGTTTAATACGTTACAGTTTTCATACAAATATAAAGGCAGAATGAAAACTGGGTGAAGAATATGTATCTAAAAATACGATAATAGAAACATTTAAACTGAAAACTAGAAATGTGTGCATAGGACAATGCCACATCTAAAATGCTTGCTTGCCTGGCATAACTGTGTTGATCTTCAAAAACCTTACGTCAAAAACACATGCTCACTCGTTGACAGCTGTTCTTAGAAAGTTTCATGCCTCTTGCTATGGTGGCCGGTTGCGGCCATTTCAAACCACGAGAAATTTAAAATATGTCGCAGGCAGCTTAGAAGCACGCAGGATTTTATGCCGAAACCGTACAAAATGTCGCGGGAACGTATTTTCCGGCATAAAAAGTCAAGGCCTAATGCTCAAACGTTTTACAAGGTATGCATCAAATATTGCAATTATAATGGCCGCCAAAAAAATTGACTTTTTTACGACAGAAGTGTGGTAGAAAAAACACGAGAGTTTCTATAAGCCGCGACGTTTTATAGAACTTCGATACAAAGTCTGGTAAATTCAATGTGTGTGTTTGGGTTTGTTTACCCTTGCCACCGGAAAGAGACCATATGGGCGAGCATGGTAAGTTCAAAAGTGACCCTCGACATTTTATAAACTGACGGTAGATTTTCTCGCAGCTTTAACGTGGACGCTACCGGCCACCATATCTAGAAGATATACTGGTATTTCTGGACTTAAACGCGAAACACGTCTATAATAGATACATTTGCGTCAAAACATCTGGAGAACTATTATCAGATTTATCGATCTAGCAATTGACAGGATTCTAAACATCTTATTGTGTGCTAAATCAGGAGATTTTGGGGTGGGGTGTCAAATACATTGCGCCAAATACGGTCTGTCTACATTACATAACCGCGTAAAAGCTTATCTGATGGACGGTCAAGGATAAAATTAAATCTGCACCCATCCTCTTCAAATTCAAACATTGTAAAGAACTATTACACAGAGGATAACAACTCCATCATCCGTGTTATAGTTCCTCCCTCGTGTCATAGTCTCTTGACAATGCCGTGTACATGTATGTGAAACTATAGCGTACGCCATCAAATCAATTTACGTCTAAACTCGCGTTTTTTCTTTCTTTTTCTTATGAAAATTCAAACGTTTGAGTAACTAAACTATCATTGTCAAGTGAATAACGGAATGACGTTAGGTATTCCAACCGACTTACAATCTTTAGATTATAGAGTGTCAAATAAACCGTACTTTAGTAATTATGTGGTAGAAATATTAAGAAAAACAGCACATGTTGCAGATTCAGCCTTGGTTTACAAATACCTTCCGAAATGGCACATGGATTAGGATAACTTTCACAATACATGCAATAGATATTTGTTATTAGTTTATATATTTGAAAAGAAAAACCTAATTATTATTATTCTCTGCTGGTTTGTTTTAGCCTCGGTAATGAAACAACTATATTCAAAGCTTCGGTAAAATTGCAAGTGCATGCACTAAACAACACGAATTAGTTAAACATCAAAGTTTTGACTTACAACTTTCGTATAATATCAGGGTGATCCATATTTCCCCCTTGTGCCATGACAACACACAATGCCAAACACGCAAGCATCTTTAGATCAATAAACATATTTGATGTTTTCAACGACCTATAAAAGAAAATACAATTCATATTTATATACAGTGTATGCATAGAAATGAATGTAAACTTCTACAAAGTTGTATCGGCAATCTCGATTACATAAATTTGTCGGCAATCTTGAAAACATCATTGTGTCGGCAATCTCGATTAATAAAATAACGTTGGCACTATCAACCGTAAAATGGTGTCGGCAGACTTAATTACATAATGGTGTCTGCAATCTCGTTCAAATAATAATATCTGCACTAACGACTACATAATGGTGTCTTTAATATCGATTACATAATGGAATACATAACGGTGTCGGCAATCATGATAACATAATGATAAGGGGCGTCCATGTCCGAGTGGTTAGGGTCGTTGACTTCAAACCTCTTGCCCATCACCGCTGTGGGTGCGAAACCCGGCAGGGATTTTGTATTCCTTCATGTGAGGAAGCCATCCAGCTAGCTTACGGAACGTCGGTGGTTCTACTCAGGTGCCCGTTCGTGCCTATAATAATGCACGGAAGGGCACCTGAGGTCTTCCTCCACCAGTAAAGCTGGAACGTCGCAAAATGACTTATACTGTGTCGGTGTGACGTAATACCCAACAAGAAAACAAACATATTGATGTCGGCAATCACAACTACATAATAGTGTCTGCGATGTCGATAACATAATGGTGTCGGCAATTTCGATTACAAAATGGTGTCAGCACACTCGATAACAAAATGGTGTCTGCACACTCGATTACAAAATGGTGTCGGCACTCTCAATTACATAATGGTGTCGGCAATCTCGATTACCAAAATGTGTCTGCACACTCGATTACAAAATGGTGTCGGCACACTCGATTAAAAAATTGCAATCTCGTTGCATTATGGTGTCGACTGTATCAGTTTACTTAATGTTGTTGACGATTACAGACGAGGTTTAAAGTTTCATTTTGTCAACTTTAACTGCAGAATTGTTTAACTATTCTTTGTTCATTTATTACGTAATAATGATAGTTTATCTATATCATTTGATTTATTTAATTAATTATTTATTTATTTTTGTGGTGGTGATTTTTTTATTCAATTTTCAGTTCTTAATAAAATGATTGTGCAAGTTCTATCAACCAAAGTTAAGAGACGAAGAATAAAGAAGACTATGACGTGTGCCGGAGTTAAGTAAGAACCTGTTTTAAAAGTACATTATTAAGTCACCTGATATGCCAGACAGATGTTTAATTTTCCATTCTGATTATATCTTCCAAACTACAAAAATCAAAATCCAGTTTGTGATAAAATCTTAAATATTCATATATTATAAAAACACCGTAAAATGTTATAGAAAAAAACACTTTTAAAGATAGTTTAACCCCATAATGTAGAGATGTGCACGTTACGCCAAAATCTGATATATCCCTAACTGTAATATGAAATATTAGCATTTTGATATGGCACCTACGGTTAAGGGATGTTACCAACGGTTGACAGATGTTACAAAGTAAAGTGAATTAATACATTTGTTATTGTAAATTGTAACAAGTTTAACATCATGAATATTACGTGACCCAATATGAGTTAGCGACTCGGGGCCGAAAGAATCATAATCATATCGTCGTCCTGCTGACCACAATCTCTCGGGGTAAAGCCGATTATTATCCTTCGGCCCTAGTCTGTTGTGTATAAACATGTTAATAATTTGTCTCAATGAGGCTTCAAGCAATGAATAACATATGTTATGAAAGCAATTTAAACTTATAATTTTCTAAAAGTAAATTAAAGAAAATATATAATAAGCAGGTTAATTGCATGTCTTTATCTTCAAAAGTTAAAACAAAAATATAAAAAATAAGTCGTTTGAACATTTACTGTTTAAGATTTTGATAGGCCCCATAGATTCAATTGTACAGCTAAAACCGTCGAAGGGTTAAAGTAAATCAATATCATAAGCCTTGATTAAATCTAAGCTTGTCAAGTATTAAAGAAATAGTTTTTTTTTCCTTAAAAAATGTCAAATGAAACAAGACATATTTTTATTCACATAACAATAGAGGCTTACTTATGCAAGGTAATACAATGTTTTTAAATCTACATTTGTTTCTTTGACATAAACAAGCTATCTATCTACATTTTTCTCAGATATAAAACTTGGGGCTAGCATATATTCCGGTCCCTTTTCACTTTAACGCTTGAGGATAAAATATCCAAGTTACTTACAAAATTTGTTCTTTTATTACGCTTGAGGCTTAAAAATATACAGTATATGCATATTTACATTAATTCCCTCTTACATTTACAAGCGTCATAACATTTGTTTCGTTTAAAAACTTTTGAATATTTTACTGGTCAAAATATAACGATGAATCAACAGCTTTTAATTGACATTATGCTCATTTTTTTCATTGTCAAGTTCAAGTAAATTAACTTATTGACTCTTACAATGATGTTTGACCAACAGTTGATATTGGAATATGTTTAAGAGAAAAATATAAAATTGCCGGAAATATATAATATAAAAAAAGATATTTGTAGCTCTTAACCCGTATTGACATATCCAAAAAAGATTTACCCATAATCCTATACAATTTCACTATTAAATCCATTCTTATCTTTTTAATTTTTATTTGCAATTTTAAGTGATCTCGTGATTTATAACTCACTAATGAGATTTTAAAAGCAATGACAGAAAATAAATAATTTAAATAAAATAAATAAAATCGATGTGTATAAGATAGTAACATACCAGCGCTATAGATCAGCTTCTGTCGTCAGCAAGATTTATCTGGGACACCCACTGATGCCGTATTTATATATAACCTGTATTTTGCGTCATATTGTACCAACAGTGCGTCTATGTTTTACGCATAAATGGACAGAGCCTTGTAAAGCAATTAGCAAAAGAAAAAGCATCAAAACACGAGGCTATCTGATTTGTACGAGGAGGCGTAGAATAGATTTAAGATGACAAAACGGCCTTAATATATTTGATTATAGACTGCTGGCCTAGATGAAGTTATTTTGCAATATTTAGATTACAATTGTATTACAGTAAGAAATCATTGTATCATAGGCCCGTACTTACACTCACACTCATTGAGTAAATCCTATATAATTGCCTAACGGTCAAGACAGTCCTCAACCTTTCAGTAAAGTTGCATTCAGATTACAAAGTAAGTGTCGAGTATACTTTTCTATTGAAAAAGTGTTAGAGTTAAATCTTAAACCAACCAATACATGCATACACAGTGCATTAACTGGAGTACCTGCACCTCAGAGCATAGTTTACTTATTGTGACGGCAGAGAAAGTGATAACGATAGAAAAAGTTATATTCAACGTACTTTTTTCTGGGGTTTCTTTATATTGTGACAAGAGTGAACGTGTTTATATTTTTGCCTATGATACAAAAGGGAAAGAACATCAAAACACCCGTTAATCTGATTTAGTATGGTGTGCCTGTAATTGGAAGCATATCTTCCAGGTTTGGCATCCAGAACTGAACAAAACATTATAATACAAAATTTAACAAATTTGCTATCAAAAACAGACTGTATGTTAAACACACATTGTCAACTCTAGCTGTTCGGGTCATATAATTTATACAAACAACTGTTCACATAGGGACATATAATAATATAATAATATAACCTGTTACAAGGCTTTATTACATACAGTTTACATGTACATGGTTGTAATCATATATGACCCGGGTCCCTAGGCGAGGTTAAATTGTAATCAGCCGTACATACATGGTTATATAAACTTCAAATTCTTCATAAAGAATCCAGCTTTAATGCTGCATATATTTTTTAAACTGCGAATAAAGTTAAAAATGAATTAACAAATATTTACAGTGTATGTGTTCGTTACGATTGTCCAATGAAAAAAGGCATTACAAACGTGCATTATTACAAAATGTGTGGCACTATGCCATAGAGAAAAAATAAAACGCACTGCTTGTGTTTATTTCTGATGTATTTCTGATTTACTTTCTCCATACATTTTATTTTAAACCCAATAACTTAGCTTTTATAATCAAATAATTTAATGTATAACAAATTTACTTAATATACAATGATCAGTGCTACCATGCTATCTAAGCGGTAGTACCTGGGTACACCGTTTTATGTATTTTCAACACTTTTTTAGTAAGCAACATCTTATGTTAAAGTGGTTAAGATCAGAAATATTTCCGAAAACTATCTAAAGATAATGCACATGGCGGCAATTTCACACTTATTTGCACATTTAGATTTTACTTGTTAACACTCATCTAGAATGAAAAAAAAATCGTTCTTCATTTCGATTTATGAAAATATTTTTACCTTTATATATTTAGAATGAAATCTGAGCCAAAAATACAAGTATTTCATCACAGCAATTAATATCGTCACTGAGTAGTGAGGTAATTTAAATATCGTCGTTTGGTTACTGTTACAGTAAAGAGATAAGAAAAGTTCAAAGTTCAAATACTCTGTTGTTTCATGGACAACCTGCTGGAAACTTTAGATTTTAACCGTGCATACGCATTTGCAAGACGGTCCATTTGGTCGACCTTTACACAACTCCTCCCATTAATCTCATATGGCGCCATTTGGCGTTGATTTTGCTTATCACAAACTTCAAGCAACACCATGAGTTAAAACCGCCTCACCTGCTCGAGCCAAGAGATGCATAGTCTCCAGTAATGTGAATCCATTTGGTCGCCTCCTACGATTACGATGGGATAAACGGTGGCTGCAATATTGATGCCTGAATCCTTGATTATATAAGTTTAGATAATATTCTCCACAGCAATATAAGGCTCAAAGCTGTACCACAAGAAAAGTAATAGCAAAACGCCCCAAGTAAAACTGTTGCTTTTTGGACGGGCGATGTAATATTTCTGTATATAAAGTGTATAAAAACACTATTTTGTATATAAATTGCATAAATTATCGTCAAAATACACAATTTTGTTGATCCAACCGTTTAAACACAATTTGTCTGATTCCAATGCAGATTCAATTTTGTACAAGTTTGGTGGGTCTTCTTTGCACAATATAAATGCCAAAGCCCATTCCAAAGAAATATGTCCGGGAGATTTCCGCATGGCATGGTCGTTATTTTGGACTAGAATTTATTATTTCTGTATATAAATTGTATAGTTTTTCGGAAAATTCCCAGACCATTCCAGAGCACTCCAGAGCATTTTCCAGAGCTAACCGTTTAAACACCATTTCTCTGATACAATGCGGATCGATTTTGCACAGGTTTGGATGGTCTTCTTTGCACAATATAAGGCTCAATGCCCTAACCCAAGAAATATGTCCGTTAGATCGGTTACCCACTCTAGATAATGTAGTATGTACGGAATTTACCTTGGGTAACCGACTATGTCTGTCTTGAAGACAATGGGCAAAAGGAAAACATTTTTCATAACGATGATATTAAAGATTATTTAGTTTCTTCATTTCTGAAAAAAAGCCCTTCTAATGGCAATATTTTAGTTCAGAAAAATGTCCATAACTCATAAACCATAAAAAAAGAGTTTCTTGATACAAAAGGGAAAGAACATCAAAATCTGATTTAGTATAGGGGTGTTCTACCGCCCCCCCCTCCTCCTCGTACAAATCAGATAGCCTCTTGTTTTGTACAATATAAGACTCAAGGCCCTAACCCAAGAAATATGTCCGTTAGATCGGTTACTCACTCTAGATAATGTAGTATGTACGGAATATACCTTGGGTAACCGACTACATATGTCTGTCTTGAAGACAATGTGTTTTGATTTGTAAAATGGCGGGTTTTGGGGTAGGGCTCATACGCACAACTTAGGCCTGTATATTAATTAAGTAATGAATTAATAAAGTACGGCATGGTAATGCAGCCACAATGTGCGCATGGCATATACGTCAGATATTTACATTGTAAGATTTTAAATCTGATTGAATGTTATACTAATTAAACAGGATCTTGATTTTTTTTTCCTTTCTTTTTATTTTGCTTGAAAATGAATACTGCAGATGTGAATACATAATATGATTCGACTAAGTGATTCAAAAATTATAGGAATAAATTTGCAACTAAAATTGCTTGAAGTACCAGCCTGCAACCAAAATGCACTGGAACAAGATATTCTCATGCGATACATCCACAATGTTTATCGTGAAAATATAATTTTCTTTGATGTATAAATTATGTAAATAATGATCAACATATTGATAGTAACAAGAAGCGATATGTCATAGTTATAACTAACACCCAATATCAAATCATTTAACATTTTATCAGAATAACAAAAACAAATGTGTGACGACAATTAGACAATTACAAAACAGTACAGCAATAAATAAAATTTATCTCTAAAATAGACAAAAATAGATAGAAAACAAACAAAACAACTACAACAAGTTGTAATTATAAATAGAAATTAAAAGATAATTTGTAATAACGTTTGGACGGCATATTACGTATAACGTGTAAAAACATTGTTCTCGTGTATGTCAAGTCGATATCCATAGTATCATTATATATGTTAAAAAAATCTATTTGTGAAATTCAGATTTGTGAAAGAAAGAACCGTTCTAGATTTCTGATAATTTTATTTTTTAAATAAGTACTAATTCTGCTGTTCCTTATTTAGATTTGAATAAGGAATCAGGAACTAGTTCCCTATTCCTTATTCGAAAAAGGAATAAGGAACTGATTCATTATTCGGAAAAGGAATAAGGAATAGGGAACTAACTTTATGTACATCTGAAAAAGACATCAGCACTGTCAAAGCCATAGTTGATGAAGAAGCAAGATATATCATGGAGGAAATAAGTGGCATATCGAGCCTTAGTGTGTCATGTGTGTTTTCCATCTTGAAAGAAAAGTTTAAGTTATGGAAAGTGTGTGCCCGTTGGAAACCGCATTTGCTAACTTCTGACTATAAAAGGAAGCGGGTTGAAAAAGTCTCGGCCATATTGACTAGGTTCAAAGATTGACTTAGGAGAAGCGTTATAAGAGACTGAGTTAAGTACACTCTGTTTTGACAGAGATGGAATAGTGGCCCGTGTCGTTGTACCTGAGAGGGCTAGCGTCACTGGAATTTTTAACCATAACCATATTGAGGTTTTGCTACATTCCGCTTACAGTCCTGTCCTCCCTCCTTGTGACTTTTGGTTGAATCTATGCAACAAATATTGCCTTCACGGTCGCCGCTTCGAAACCCGTAGTGTCGCCGGAAACGCTCTCTACCAGTTAATACCCAAAGAAAAGTATGACAAATGCTTTTTCGGAATGGATTCTAATGCTGGAAAAGTGTGTAGAGGTTCATTGTTAATAATTTGAAGGAATCTACTAATCATTTTTCACAGGTATGACTTATTAAAAAAAACGCGCTGCCGTAGCCACCAATCAAAATATGCCCCTTGTATATGTTAATTATAAAATGTCTTTATTTCAGATGTGTGATAACAGACTTGTGCTTGAAGTAAATAATAATAATAAGGATGATGATGATGATGCCTATCATATATTTATTTTCTTTTTAATTCCACCGTTCAGTGACTGATATAACCATCAATCAACAACTATACATAAGAACATAACATACGATTACTAAACATATATTATATACACAAAGAACATATCATACGTAATAATAACAACAACAATAATAATAATAATGATATATATTTTTTAATTCTAATGTATTGCATAAACTATGATGTTTGGGTTGATAAATAAACTGAATATCATAATGAAATCATTTTGTCGCTAGCAACACTATAATAAAGTTGGAGCGACAGACATTGTCACGTTACCCCTTATATATACGTACGTGTCCAACCCTCTTACTTAAACTCTGTATTTAAATCTGCATTCTATATTGCGGTATTTCCCTATACATGTATTTTATGTCGGGGAAATGTAAACATAACTTCATTTACTCCTCTATCCATTCTCTTGCCGCCTGCATTTTCGTGTGCTTTTTGTTTGTTTATTTTGTTTGTTGTTGTTTTATTCCTCCTTAAATGAAACTTCCAAATTTATAATAATCAAGTCTATTTTTAACCAGTTGAATTTAAAAACTATATCTATTATAATTTATGTGTACAAAGTTATATAATTATTTTTCCGTTTTGTATTGTATATTCCATCAACATTTAGCTCACTTTCGAAAATAAATAATCTAATATTTTTATTTAGTTACATTACTTATGCAAATTTTTATTTTCTTGACTAAGGGAACATTGGCTTTTGTATAATATATATATGTACATTATTTGTACTCACTTTTATTTCCTTGACTGACCGAAGCAGCAAGGGTTTTAGTATAATCTTCACATTATTCATGCACACTTTTATTTTCTTGACTAACTGAGGCAGCAAGGGATCTTGTATAATCTTTACATTACTTGTGCACACTTTCCTTATGTGACTTAGGCAGCAAAGATTTTTGTATGATCTTTATATTACTTATGCACACTAACCTTGAGTAACTAAGGGTTTGTGTATAATCGTAACATTACGTATGCACATTTTCTTTTAGTGACTAAGGCAGCAATGGATTTTTTACAATATTTACATTACGTATGCAAACTTTATTTCCTGAACTGACTGAGGCAGTAACGGTTTTTGTATAATCTTTACATTAATTATGCACACTTCTTTTTCCTTGACTCACTTAGGCAGCAAGGGTTTTTAAAAATCTTTACATTACTAATGCATACTTTTATTTTCTTGATTGACTGTTGCAAAAAGAGTTTTTTGTATACCATTTACATTCCTTTTGCAATATTTTATTCCCTTGTCTAAGACAGTAAGGGTTTGTGTATAATCTTTACATTTCTAATTCCCTCTTTAATTGCCTTGACTAAGGCAGCAATGTTTTTTTATTATATTTTTTACATTATTCATGCACACTTTTACTTCCTTACTGGCTGAGGCAGCAAGGATTTGTGTATAATCTTTTCATTATGCATGCACACTTTAAGGGTTTTTGTATATTTTTTACATTACTAAGGCACACTTGTATTTCCTTGACTGACTTATGCAGCAAGGATTTGTGTATAATCTCTACATTACTAATGCACACTTTTATTCCATTGAATGACTGAGGAAGCACGGTTTTTCGATTTAATCTTAACATTACTTATGCACACTTTTATTCCCTTCACTGACCCAAGCAACAAGGGTTTTTTTTGTATACTTTTTACATTATTCATGCAAACATTTATTTCCTCGACTGATTGAGGCAGCAAGGGTTCGCGTATTATCTTTACATTACTTATGTACACTTTTATGTACTTGATTTACTGAGGCAGCAAGTGTATTTGTATTATCTTTACCTGGCATATAACTGCGACGTTAATCCCATGAGTTTGTTGGTCTGGAGCCACAATAGCTTGTGTTTGACTGCTCTTATATATGGCAAATTGATTTCCAAGTTAAGACATAAAAAATTCCCACATGTTAACTGTTATCCATTATCGGCTTAAAATTAAAGGCCATTAACAACGTATACAATGCGTTGTTTTATTTTTTTGTGTCTTACACGCTGTACAAACTCATTGGATTTACTTATGAGAAACACGACGGCCATAAATGAATTTTATCATAAAATATTTTATGGACAAGCTGTTTCAATAGCATTTATATATTCTTTCTTTTCCTTTTGTTTTTCATTTCGGGAATAAGATCTTTCCGTATCATAGTAAATCAAGCGCATGCGCAATACACTTTTGTTTCGAGAACAAAGGAAACAAAGCAAAAATTTCACTCAGCTAGTTAAATATGTTTATAGTATACTCGTATATAGTTTGACCTCCTCCTCCCTTACCAACCATCCACTATCGAAAATTAGTAGTGGGATTATACAATTTCATTTACTTTGGATATTTTGTAATACAGTATTTTATGTATGTTGTATTTTTGTTTTTACTATGTATCACATTGAAATTCATGTGTATAAAGTTCTTTTTATTCTTGTATTTCTTTATAATTTGGCATATTACCATTTTGTAGTCATAATAATAATTTTTTTTGTGTTTATCTGGCTACATATTTGTAGTAAAAGTTCATAAGTATTTTTAAAGGATGTAGCCCTACATCAGGTGGTACTAGACACAAGATAAAAGGGCACAGGTTTCCAGACTATGGTTTTTCCTGGGCGAGTCGACCGTGAGTTTGAAAATATTTTATAATCAGCGGTTCATCTTATATATTTGTTTAGGTGGTTTGTTGTCCACTTTTTGTCATATATTATAAGGTTGCTACAATTATTTTCTATTTGAAACAACATTTGAAGTTTTGTTTAATCATTTTCGGGGCGAATTGGTTCCCAGCCAAGACAAAAAAATTCTACATGTAAAATGTTATCCATTTATCGGCTTAAAATTAATGCCCATTAACATTGGTTCCCCACTTAAGACATAAAATATTTCTACATGTTAAATGTTATAAATTTATCGGCTTAAAATTAAAGCCCATTAACAGGTTAAATAAACTATTTTGAACGGATTGTAACAATATGTATATGTCTAACAAATACGGGAGTCCATTGTCAAATCTAAAGTTAAACCATCGGTTTTACTTTTTTCAGTAAAAAATGTAACTCTATATCAAAACCATTTATGGATAAATCTTAATAATATATAAACTAAAAATAAAAAATCAGTAAGATGGAAAAGTTTCACGTGATATTGTCGGCTATATTTTTATTTTACAACAGTTGTGACTGTTATAAATATAAGGAAGCAAAGATACTTCGTGAGTACTTATTTGATGCTACGAGATATGACGAATCTATACGACCGGTGATAGACAGCTCAACAGTAACAAAGGTATTAAATGTTTTGATTATTGTATGCACTCTTTGCAATCAAAACATAGGCGACGAATTTCATTGGCGTCCGGGCCGGTGCGCGACGCCCATTATGGAAGGAAATTAGATATTGTGAAAGGGCAATTGCAACTTCTCGGGCCTTTTCGTTGGTCATTATAGCCGATCATTCCGATTGGTATGAGGGTGTTTGAATATCTAAAATGACATGTGGCGATATTAACAATGAATATCGAACTGAATAATTTCACAATGCAAACATTTTCAAATGAAATTGTATCTGTCATTTAATCACGCTATTCGTTTTTTTATTAATCATTTAGTACACAGTGAGTTATTATGTATGTTGTTGTTGTACCTATAAATAGAATGATGACCTTAACATTGTGAAAGTCCGAAAATCTATTTATAGAAGTAGTTTTATTTTAACGAAACGGTCATTTGTGTCTTGCTATAGTTATAAATAACGAACTGAAGAAATTTTGCAGGAAATGAAATGCAAACATATTCAAAATATTAATTGCATTTTTTAAGTAGGCCATTTTTTTACGAATTGTAATATGATTGTATTATCATTTTGAAATTATCTTTTCCGTAGGTTCTTTCCGGTTTTCTTTTTACGGCCCTGATTGCACTAATGACATTTTTACCATGAATATTTATATAGACCTAGTTCAAAACTTTAAATGTCGCTTTTATTTTGAGGTTAAGTCTAGCAGTAGTATACATGTACTATAAACCTATTCGCTGTTTAAATCTCTTTAGCTAAAATCGACCATGATTTACCGGATTTTTGCTGTTGCACATTTTGTTTGAATGCAATCGATTTTATGGTAGTTTGAGTTGAATGTTGATTTGCCGAATATTGTGACATTTTAACAACAGACACTTCCGTCTGCAATTTTAACAATAGTTGTTACTGGTCTGTGATACGCAGGCTTCATAACCTCTGATCCCCTTTCAAAATTCCATTTTATTTAGTTCCGCCCATTGTTTTCTCGTTTAGGGCACACGCTTTTTATTACTTGGGGACCATACGCCGCTTTTCATGGAATGGCACGGAAGTGTCACATTGAAGGTTCCATGATAACCGCCGTATGAACACATCTGCGGATGTTTCTAAATTCTAAATTTTACTATTTCACGTTAAAATGTTGAATTCTGCTTAAGCCGGTGCTAGGGGGCGTGGACGGTAACTTGCACTTTCCAGTACCGTCCATGAACAGGCTCAATCAAACCGAGCCTGCAACATTTTCAATTTTGCCGTGTTGGGCTTTCTTTAGGGATTCTGTATTTATCTATTTTATGATCACATCCGTGTTATTTGTGCCGTGTGGCGCTGTAAAAAGTCTCCCCGTACATTTAATCAATGATGTTATATTTTCGATCCTTGAAGATCGTTCAGCACGACATAATTGTTGTGCTTGTGGTATTTTTAGTTTCAACTTTTCGGCATTTTCTAGTTGGGTGGTTCCAATATTCCTACTTGAATAATGTTGAATCACCCTTAGGATATGTTGCCTGCTTTTTAAATTTGTCTTTTGACGTCTTATCTGTGATACGCAGGCTTCATAACCTCTGATCCCCTTTCAAAATTCCATTTTATTTAGTTCCGCCCATTGTTTTCTCGTTTAGGGCACACGCTTTTTATTACTTGGGGACCATACGCCGCTTTTCATGGAATGGCACGGAAGTGTCACATTGAAGGTTCCATTATAACCGCCGTATGAACACATCTGCGGATGTTTCTAAATTCTAAATTTTACTATTTCACGTTAAAATGTTGAATTCTGCTTAAGCCGGTGCTAGGGGGCGTGGACGGTAACTTGCACTTTCCAGTACCGTCCATGAACAGGCTCAATCAAACCGAGCCTGCAACATTTTCAATTTTGCCGTGTTGGGCTTTCTTTAGGGATTCTGTATTTATCTATTTTATGATCACATCCGTGTTATTTGTGCCGTGTGGCGGCTGTAAAAAGTCTCCCCGTACATTTAATCAATGATGTTATATTTTCGATCCTTGAAGATCGTTCAGCACGACATAATTGTTGTGCTTGTGGTATTTTTAGTTTCAACTTTTCGGCATTTTCTAGTTGGGTGGTTCCAATATTCCTACTTGAATAATGTTGAATCACCCTTAGGATATGTTGCCTGCTTTTTAAATTTGTCTTTTGACGTCTTATCTGTGATACGCAGGCTTCATAACCTCTGATCCCCTTTCAAAATTCCATTTTATTTAGTTCCGCCCATTGTTTTCTCGTTTAGGGCACACGCTTTTTATTACTTGGGGACCATACGCCGCTTTTCATGGAATGGCACGGAAGTGTCACATTGAAGGTTCCATGATAACCGCCGTATGAACACATCTGCGGATGTTTCTAAATTCTAAATTTTACTATTTCACGTTAAAATGTTGAATTCTGCTTAAGCCGGTGCTAGGGGGCGTGGACGGTAACTTGCACTTTCCAGTACCGTCCATGAACAGGCTCAATCAAACCGAGCCTGCAACATTTTCAATTTTGCCGTGTTGGGCTTTCTTTAGGGATTCTGTATTTATCTATTTGTTGATAGGAATGTAAACACACTGGTGGGTCAGACGAAGTGTTTGAAGTTATTCATTTTAAAATAGTAGATTGGCCTCCCAATAAATCAATTAACAGACTTTGTTCATTTTGACTAGTATTTTGTATGTTCCAAAGAAAATACCACATGAACTTGAAATTCTATCAAATAACCAATATTAATGATAATATCCAAAATTCCCCCTGTATAGTATAAATAAATTTTTATCATATGGGGGTATATTTTGGATATTATCATTAATATTGGTAGAATTTCAAGTTCCTGTGGAAAAATCATTTAATATTTATAATCTCTAGTTCATGATGTACAATGTCTTTCGTCCGCCTTTTCATAAATGATATACAATTCTGGTTAAAACCAAATAACCATAGAAAAGTTTATTAGAAAATCTGGTCATCAGATGTCTACTGGTTCATCTAGGTCATCTTCACTTGCTGCATTTCTTGTTGAACGCCCTTTGATGCCTTGCATCAATGCTTTTTTGTTTTTTATTAGAATGCAAAAATCTTACCACGGATAGAAACAAATTGAATTTTGATTATTATTTTTGAAATAGTTCGTTTCATTTTGTGTGAATATCATACTTAATCGTCTCTGTGTAGAAAGAATATTGTAAGATGACATGTATGAGTTATATACTATTAACCTCGTCAACGTTTTGCATTGTGTTATTTACCTTTTTAACAAGTATTGTATATTGAGTGACAAAATAAAATCTTGAAATCTTGAAATTTTTAACAGGCACTTAATATTTTCTACAACGTATATCTTACATTAAACAATCAATGCCAGTATACAATGTCATTATTATCATGAGTTTAAGGTATTCATCTACTAGCCAGGCAACTTATGATTTAAAAAAATGTTCATTTTAACGCACGACTTACAAGTAATTATTTTAATAAATATTTATTACCGTTGATTATATTGAAACTGATAATATATTTATAAACAAACTCATAACGAACTTAACAATTTTTGTTTGTTTTGTTTATATAATCTGATAAAAAATATCCTGCATACGTTTCTATATTCCATAAAAAACTACTTCTTACGACCGTGTATTAATTTTATATAGAACTATTTTTACGGGAGTTTATTGATTTCATAATTGTCGTCGAAATCAAAATGACGATCTATTCGTTGAAATGATTTGGTTTGGTGGAACATGTAAATGAATGGTAGAAGAACATGCCCCATCCTTTAAAGAATCACCCCAGAGGTGACTGTTCTTCTGTTAACACGCAGCAACGCTTATTATTCAATCGACGCATTTACTATGACATACTCTAACAAAAGATAGCTGTATACTAATCAATTTATTGTTTACTTTCAGATAACTGTTTCTCAGTTTCTTCAAGGGATTTATGGTATTGACGTAATGACTGGATATATGTGTACCTATTCCGTCATAACTATGACATGGTTGGACGAACTATTGACGTGGAACAGTTCTGATTACGGTGGTATAACAAAACTCACGTTACAGCCAGGAACATGCTGGACACCACAACTCATACACACATATTCTGATTTTTGCAAAGGTAACCAAGCCGAGGGAATTTCTGAATCTGCAAATATAACACTGACAAATGATGGTACGGTTTCTATGTATTATAGTGCATTACTTGAGGCTAAATGCGCTATTGACATGAAACTGTTTCCGTTTGATGAACACATCTGTTGGAATCAATTCTATTCAACAAAATATACAGCAGACGAACTTAAAATTCACTTTAACGAAAGGAGCATTCATGACAAACAAAATTACAGAGAAAATCCAGAGTGGGGGCTTCATTCTGAGGGTCAATTTGTGTACGACTTCAACGATAATTTGTCGTCATTACCCATGTCATATGCAGCAACTCATATGACTCTGAAAAGGAGACCTAGCTTCATCATCATTAACAGTTTTGCTCCAGCTTGGCTTGTGTCAATTCTGATACTTTTAACGCCCTTAGTTCCACCTGATTCTGAAAGACTTTCCCTCGCAATAACAACCTATCTTGCCATGGTGTTCATGAATGTTTATTTTGTTTCCGAGATTCCAAGAAATTCCATTGAAATTCCTTTAATATCAACAATTATACTTGCTTTTAGTGCCATCTCTACATTTGGTATTATTTGGAGTATTTTCATAGTTTGCTTGTCAAAAACGTCAACCAAGAAATCTCAAGTTCCTGATCTTATAAGAAAACTATTGTGCATATCTATCAAGGAGAATAAGCAGAGAGATAAAAATATTTCTGTTAAGAATGTTGAAAAAATGGAAAAGTCAGTTGACGAAAGAATAACCAAGTTTACCGGAAATGACGTTGTTGATAACACAGGATGGTACGACGTGTCAAGATTCCTCGATAAAATCTACTTTGTAACTTCAATTCTAACTGTAGTCGTAACTTCTTTTACCATTTCTAGAAACACCAACACAGAGTGAAAATAACATTTTTCTTTATAATATATTATCAACTATGCGACGTTATCTTTAAAACGGCCATCAGCTTTTGTGAAGGTTGAAAATTTTTAATTTTTAGATGTATCGTTTTATATATTGTTAACAAACCAAAAGAATTTAGGTAGAAAATGAAATTTGCGAATCCCTGAATACATCTAATCCACTGGTCCACTCTCTTTACGTATATATGTAAAGTCGACAATTCGGTTTCCACATTTTCTACGTATAAAAACGACACTGAAAAATAGCTCTAGGGAAGAAAGCTTTAACAGTGATACGATATATTTTTCCAAGAAAAAAAATGAAAAACCTATTTTGAAACAACACGGCATTTTTTTTTCTAACAAAAAAGTAAAAGCTGAAAGCCGCTTTAAAATGACTATATAAAAGCATTATTGTCAAAATTAAGCTAAAAAGAGATAATGAAAGAACATGACACTCGCAAAAGTTTTGGATCACCACATAGGCCAAAGGAACCACATAGGCTCAGGATAGCCAGAGACACTACAAAAACGCGTGGTAGCAAAATGCGCCACACTTGCTTTGAGTAGCAATA